AAAATATTTCAGCTTCTGACATAGGATGCTGTTTATTAGCCAATCTTCCTTGATGTTCAGATCTTTCAAGATGTTAGTATTTCTTCTCTTCTTTGTCCAAGATATTCTGAGAATCATACTATAGCATTTCAACTCAAAAGCCCCAATTCTCTTTCTTAAGGACTGGTAAAAATCTACCCAAAGGTTTTCAGAATTATCAGCGGTGCAACAGTTCTTCAAAGTAAGGTTTGAGTTACAAGTAGAACAGAGCACTTATGGATTACACCCCTGTGCCATGATGTTGATCAGTCGACTAAATTACATTTATTTCAACAGGGAGGAGGGAATCAAAAGACAAAAGCAAAGTTGAAGAATTCTATGGTCGTAGTGTTTAATAATAATAATAATAATAATAATAATAATAATAATAATAATAATAATAATAATAATAATAATAATAATAATAATAATAATAATAATAATAATAATAATAATAATGTTTCAAGTAGCAAACAAATTCAAAAATATATTCGCAAAATTATCACCTTTTCCTTCTTTGCGTTCACCATCTGTAAACTCCTGCGCTTAAGTTCTGAAACCTGAATGCTGCGTGCACATGCGTTTTACAATTCTGACTCATTTGTATTCAGACTGGTGGTTTCTTGCCTATCAAGCAGATGCACTCCGACTTCGAAGAAAGCTCCTGTTTAGTCGACAATTACGATGTGTATTTTTTAAGCAAAACAGTGCTTCCCAACAATGTGACGCTGGAGCCACACGGGACCAAATATTATGATAAGTATCAAATAAACTTGTAAAAAAGATTTTCTATACATCACTAGCGAGACAGGGGCGGTTAGGTATCATTACAAATTTAGTAAAGGTTATTCCTTGCGGGTATCTAATTAAGATGCAAGTGTCAATCATTCCGAAGGCCCTAATTACTACCCGGTCTAGACTTCAGGTCTCCCAGGTCCACTCAGCCTTGAGTGGGTACCAGGTGCAGTCATAGAAAGTAAAGGCGGCCGGCGTGATGCTGAGCACATCACTCACCAAGTACCGATTGATCTATAAAATATAGGTCAAGCCCTATATGCCCAATACGCCTAAAGCGTGGAAAATGGCCCTTGTCTTTACTGTTTTTACTAGACTTCAGGGAAGCGTGCTGTGTGGTCTCGAGATATGGTATCTGTCTCGAGTCCTGGTTCAGGCCCTGGTAAGGGCTGGGATATTATCATGTGGGCTTCCAGTAATTTTCCCTGGTCTCTGCGTAGTGAGATCGGACACTCGTGTGTATTGCTGCTCACGTAAAAAAAAAAAAAATCACTTGGCAGTATGAAATCGAAAAGAGTAGCCTAACGGCGTTCCCAGGGCAATATTTGGAGTTTAAAATCTATCTGAAGTATTTCAGGATCTTCGGCACTGCAACGGAGTTCGTGCACTGCGTTGAGCAGTAAAACGGAGCACTTGTGAGTTAGGTCCGTGATCTATGATGTTGATCCGTTGAATCAACCAAAAAATCAAACCAATACAAGACTTAGATTACTTCCTAACGGTCAAGGGCCCTAAAATATCCTTACAGTTGACCAGTTAATTGTTAAATTAAAAATCGACATCATAGCATTCGGGACACCCCCAAAATCGCCCTGTCCCTTTCTTCAGCAGCAAACGAAGAGTCCCAATTCCGTTGGCAACAGCAACTGTCTGATTGTAAATCCGTCTCGCCCCTCGCTTTAGTGTTAAGCGTCGACGGTTGAACGGGACAATTTGTACATGCAGTATTCTTATAGACAACTTACCACAGACATCAGAAGGAGACAGTCATCATTTTTCAGCCATGTTATGAGAAAAGGGAAAATAGAACACCTGGTGACAACTAAAAAGATCTGTGGTAGGATAGAGGAAGACAACGAGAGAAGATGCTTGACAATCTTGTTGCATGTCATGGAGGTGTGTCGGCACACGAACTGATACATGCTGCTGGAGATCGCATATTGTGCAGAGGCATGATCGCCCACGCAAGTCGGCGATGGTGAGTGTTCTTATCCTAGGAGTGTTAACTCTGCAGACAGCAACCCTGGACGGGACAAACCACAATAAACGATGCCCCTGACTGCTAATACGTTATGCAACGCGTGGGCGTGAGGCATCGAGTGCACACACACACAAAAAAACTGCTTATTTAAAAAAAAATATAATATCAAGTGCGTGTAACATCCAGTTGACCAAAGTGTGTCAGTGTGAACACGTGTGTAATCAATAGAACTGTAGCTAGTAACTGGAGACCTCAAGTTGTGTGCCCAGCTGCGTCAGTAACGATTATGTTATCTGAATTTACTTTGCACACCCAAAAATCTATAAAGTTAACAAATACTTACTGTGCCAATGGATTTATTTGATACCTTTAAAAGGTATATTAACAGTTGTGTCATAATTGAAGATAGTAACTCGTAGGTGGCAAATATGTATATGTGTTTTCGGATGTAGTCACCATAGGCATATACAAACATTTTAATTGTGTTTGGGAAGGAGTGAAGACAAAAATAACTTTGGGAAAAGGGAAGGAGAGGATGGTCAGTCCAGTTACACATTTTCTAGGACTAGTAAGGGACGGTACTCGCCATCTCTTTTGACACAGGGATCTTTGAATGCCCGAGGCGACCTAATCTAATGAGTTGAGTTGATTAAAAAACTGGCATACCCACAAGCGCTCTGTCATCAACTTCAGCAACCATTTCCAATACCGATACTGCCGGAAACAGTTTGATTATACGTCCGTCCTGCCTTTCAATTGATTTTTGAGTATCGGTGAGATACCCTCGTCATTCACCATATCATCAATCTCACCAGACTGTGATGAACCTTTTGCTCCTCCGAATTGTACGTGTGCTTCCACAATGCCATAACTACGTCTGACCTAATCTAACACAACTTTCATATGTTTGTAACAAAGGCCATTGGACAGGTTACAACTGATCACCTTTCGTGGTAGATACTTGCATAGTTCGGCTCAAGTAAATAGTCTATATCTCAGAAAACAATACAGATCTGCGCACAAAGTTACGCCATTACATTTTAGGTGACACTTCAAACAGTTTGATGCGGATCATTTGCAGTTCGTTGCAAAACCAGTCAAAGACTTTTTTTCAGTGATGTTAACTAGACAATTATATGTTCAGCAATTTATCATTGTTATTAAAACGACCGGGGAGTAGCCGTGGTATAGCGGCTAGACGCTTGACTGCGGATCGGAAGGTCGTGGGTTCGGGTCCAGACAGACGCACTTTTTTTTAAAACGACGTTGACCTCCAGGTCAACCCAGCATGAATGGGTACCAGGTGCAGTCCTGGGAAGTAAAGACGGCTCGGTGTTATGCTGACCTTATTATCCACCAAATACAGTAGGATTTATACAATATAGGTCTAGCCCTATATACCCAAGACGTCTGAAGACGTGGGAAAGGGTACTTCTAGTTAGATGGCCGGCGCTCCAAACCATTGTCGAACTTTGCGTAAAGCGTCCAGCAGCTGGAGTGGAACCGGTTGTTTCGAGTGCATCTTCTTCTTCTAGTTCACCTCCTGTAAACTCCAGTGGAAAGTTCGGGATTTTTGTTCACCTCTTGACTTTAGGTTTTTACCAGAACCTCTGTGTTGCATGCACACCAGTTTAACAGATCTTGCTTATGTGTAATTGTATTGATTCCTTGTCTCTCATGAAGATGTACTCGAACTTTAAAGAAAGTACCTAATTATTAGACTCTTATGACATGCTTGTTGGAGAGGCAGTGAGTGTATTCATGTTTTCTTAACAACGGGCTCTGGAACCCACACTCGGAATATTGGAATTATAAAGCGCGTACGCAACACTTCATCCATAGACACTGACAAAGTCAGCGTATTGATAGTAAAATGCAAATAATCCTTTTCTACGCCTTCAAGCATATCGGGCATATAGGGCTATATTTTAGAGACCACTCGGCAATTGGGGGTGATGAAGTCAACATCACACCGGCCGCCTTTACTTCACAGGAATTTATCTGATACCTATTTAAGTCTAGGTCGACGTGAGGGCTAAGGTCATTTTTGTAACAAAAGCCCTTTTTTCGCCAGGAGCCGAACCCACGACCTTCCAAACTCAGACCCGCGTCTAGCGTTACACAACGACAGCTCCCGCTATACTGAAAAACATTACCTAAATATGCTCACTTAATCTTACCTGACCACCAGTTTTAGATCTGTTCTGTTGTGTTGTCTAGATTATATTTTATGGTGTTCTTCCTCCTCTTCTTCATTTGTCCTTCGGCGTATGCTGTAAAGCGTTGTAGCCTTTTGTCTTCTTCTTCTTTGCGTTCACCAGCTGTAAACTCTGGCAGAAAGTTCTGGTTGTTCATCCACTTCTGGACTGTAGCCCTTTTCCAGAACCTGGGTGTTGCGTGTGCAACCGTTTTACAGATCTGACTTATTTGTATGCAGACTGTTGGTTTCTTGCCTACCAGGCAGATGCACTCTGGCTTCGAAGGAAGCTATAAATTAGTTGACTCTAACGAGATGCTTTTGGGTAGGCAGTGGGTCTATTCTTGTTTTCCCTATAGTAGGGCTCCGGAACCCACACGGGGAGTAGCCGGTTGTGTTAGCTGTAGTTTCCTGTATGTTGTTAGTTATGTAGCTTGTCCTAATTGCATATTGCTTTTATATAGTGTATCTTTACTCCATCAGTCGATTTCTTTACTGGTCGAACTCTTGCCTAGTAGCCTGCTTTTCTTATTCCCATAAGAGCAGTTCAAAAACAAATGGAGACGAATGATGGAAAGTGAACTGAGCGCTGCATCTCTGACATGGAAAACTGAACTGAAGATAGCATAGGACAGGAAAGCAAGTAACGTCCTGTAAGAAAAGGATGTAAAATCATTTGTCTGTGATAGAAGACAACACAAATGTGATATTATCTTCAGAACGATAAAGAAACGTGTGGTGAGCTGTTTATTACTGAAATAGTAAGGCTGAAACATTTTACACTTACAGAAAGATGGGGCTTCAAGGGGGTGAAAGAAAAGCAGAGAACACAACTCTGTTAGTTCCTGCCACGAAGCGACCAACGACATCACGCTACCTAGATATGTCTCTGGTGTCTGATCAAGCCGCAGAACCTCGAACAGTCAAAAAACTTGGAGCTCGAATCGAACAACGAAAGAAACTACTGTTGGTAATTGTTGATTCTAACAACCTGTTTTTCAGCCTGTTGCTGTGTATATTTAATTTTTCACAACAATGGGCATCTACAAATCAAACAAATACATAATACAGACAATACAGCACACAAAATTAAGCATATGGAGAACTGAGACAAAAAGATAGTTTTATAAAGTAAAAAGGAGAGGCGAACGAAGGTTAGGGGAAAATAGAGAAAGTTATATATATGTATATATATATATATATATATATATATATATATATATATATATATATATATATATATATATATATATATATATATATATATATATATATGTGTGTGTGTGTGTAAAAGAGTGTGCGTGTGTGTGTGTGTGTTATGTTAGATGAAAGAGAGCTGAAAATTGATCATTACTAGGCTGAGAATGACTACTATGAATCATGCAATTGTTCTTAAAGAACAGTGTGATGTGATTGACGAAGCAAGTTTTTACGGCAGTGATACAAATGTTATCAATGTGACTCCGATAACAGGTGCTGCTAAAACGTACAAAGGACACATTTAGGAGGTCTCGGTATAAATGTACAGATGATGTTCACGTAAAGATGTTCAGATAATGACCATGATAATCAGCAACGAAATTATTAATTGTAATTATGTTATTATTACTATTTTTTTATTACTATTATGTGTGCCGAAAGGTAAATAAATAGAATATATTCGAAACAATCCTCAGTGTATAAAAATACTTTAGAAAGATATTTGGTTGGGAGATTAACGCAGGAGAGCCCTGCTAAAACAATTTTTTTTGAGGGTGGAAGGGGGTGCACTCAAGGTTCCTGAGCCCCTGAGGTTATGGCACCTTGAAATTTAGGTGTAATCATAAAAACTTGGTAATGGGTAAAGATCAGTTTAGTTCACATGTATATCTACATGACTGTCATAGCCTCTTCGCTTGGATAAATCGAAGATATTTACACCACTCTCCACAAACTCCACATCTATCTATCTATCTATCTTCTTTTACCCCACCAGGACATCACACAAGAGATAAACACCCGATGAAACAAAGTGCGACCATGTGGATGAGGATCACCCGTGGAGAGGTCCCAGAAACCGCGTTCAGCCATTAGACCATATTTATGGTCAGGCTATACTGCGGCCCCTGGCAAGAACCAGGGTGGGGCTTCAAATTTCCGAAAAATTGCATCTCACAAGGAGATGACTGGGTTACAAACAAACTCCTCTGCACCACCGATGAATCGAATACTTTTGGCGACTGCACTAGTTATGCGGCCCTAATCCTCCGGTTCAATGCCACCCTCCCCCCCTCCCCCCCCCCCCCCCCCCCCAATTCCCTGCCCTAACCACAAATGTGGTAAATGCAGACAGTAATTGCGAGATTTGTGAAAGATTAAACAAACATTTTTCACAAAATATTACAGATTACATTTATCGAACAACGTAAAATGCAGTGTTCCTCAGTGTGTTACAAGGTGACAAGCATAGCTTCAGAGGTCCTGACAGTTAGATCCCTTTGAATTTGTTTTCATAAGTGATGCATGTGTTGGGAAATGAATGGTAGGATAGGGTTGCTGGTGCTGCACCGCTGGGTTGTGAGCTGATTATGACAAGCTAGATGTTGTCTAGTTCGTTAGGGGCTAGTGTACAATGCGGTAGCGTGAAAAGATCGTTACCATATAGAGAGAATAGTGCGACAGAGTGATCAATGAATTAGATCAACACTCTACATTCAGAAAAAAGACAAGAGGGACACATAAATATGCTATTGGCACCATACAAGCTGAAACTGGCTGCTGAAGATGTGGACGGAACACTCATGAAAATGCCCCGAGTGTTGAATGTGCTTTCTTGACAACTCGACTCATTGCACCTCATCTCATATCAACTCTTATGTTTTACAGCGTCGACGATATCTGGTTGACCTTATGCTGGCTCTCGCTTTAGTTGGAATTGCATTGATGGTTGTTGAGAACGAGCTGTACTACGTTAATATTGCAGGTAAGTGTTCCATTCCCCTACACGTATCTTCACCGACAGTATAATCCCTGTATACGTCATGCTCCCGGGTCGACCCAGACTCCAGTAGGTCCAGGTAATATCCTTAGACCGGTTGAGGAACTCCTTGTGGTCGGGGTTCACTCCCGGGGGTAGGCAGAAAAGCCACATTTCTCCCAGATTAACGGTACCTATAATTGAATCAATGCTGAAGGGTTGCGATATCCATAGTACCGAGCCAAAAGGGTTTACAACTCATGGTTTCTGGATACGTTAAAAAAAAAAAAAAGTCAAGACCGCAGGCCTGGAGCTCAGCGCATCATTTATCGACTGCCGATTCTTCTTCTTCTTCAGCGTTCCGAGCCTTTGAGGTTCATTGCTGCAGATATCACCCGCTTCCATTCATCTCTCTTGTTGGTCTTCTCTTTTCAGTTGGTGAGACAAAGTGTTCGTATCTCTCCATCGTCTTCTTGGTCTGCCTTGTTTTCTACGACAATTCCTTTACTTCTCTGTCATTTGAAATTCTTTCATTATGCTTAACCGTTTCAGTCTATTAGCTCTCATGATGCCGGTGATCAAAAGTGCTATAAACAGATTATGAAATTCGTTTTTGCTTCTCACTCTCCATTCCCCGCTGTTGCATCTGTGATGGGTCCAACGATTTTTCGTAAGACTCTGTTTTTTTAAATCTGTAATAAGGCTTTATCTCTTTTAGTTGTGCTCCAGTTGTGCTCGACTGCCGATTGGTTTATAAAAATGTTGGTCCAGAATTGTATGTTTTAAATGTCAAAGTCTTACTAATTTTTAGACTTCATGCCGTTTACAGTATAACAATTTAATCCTAGCGTACGTGAAACTTCAACAGGGCACAGTGATACCGTCTCTCTCTCTCTCTCTCTCTCTCTCTCTCTCTCTCTCTCTCTCTCTCTCGTTCGCATGTTTATTCGCTCTTTCTCTTCGTTTGTGTATCTCTGTATGTTTGTCGGTCTGTCTATGACCCCCCCCCCCTTCCACACACACACACGCACACATACACCTATTTATATACAGAGAGAGAGAGAGAGAGAGAGAGAGAGAGAGAGAGAGAGAGAGAGAGAGAGACATATAGAAAAAGAAAAGCCCAGGAGGCATATATTAGATTTTAAGTCTGCGTCGACCAGGGTGCCAAGGTTATTGTTTAAAGAAAAAACAAAAGTCTGACTCTTTAGGACCTGAACACACGATCTTCGAATCTGCAGGCCAGCATCAAGTCACAATACCACGGCGGCTACAAGCTTAGTTATAGACTGTTAGATATGCAAGGTGCCATTTCATTGTGGTGTACCTATAAGGCACACAAAAAAAAAAAAATAATAATAATTGTTTCATATCCTCCGCGTCATATCCTCTATTTTTCCCTCAGCCTCTCTTCTGGTAGGCTTTTCAGTTCCTTCTATATCTGTAAACATATCATTCAATTTCTTCTGTTATTGTCTTCTTCTTCTTTTTCTTTGTGTTTACCAGCTGCAAACTCTGGTTGTTCTTCCACTTTTGGTCAGCAGTCCTGTTCCTGAACCTGAGTGTTGCGTGTGCATCCGTTTTACAGATCTGACCATTTTGTATCGAGAGCAGCTTCTTGATAGTATTTTATCATTGCATGGAAATCACACGATTTTTCTTGCTGATGGAGATCGGAATATGATCGCTATCTTTAGATTACTTATATGGATAGAAGTACACAGGAGGCAAATACAGACACTGAGGAAATCAATTACACAGGAGGCAAATACAGACAATGAAGAAATCAAATACACAGGAGGCAAATACAGACACTGAAGAAATCAATTACACAGGAGGCAAATACAGACAATGAAGAAATCAAATACACAGGAGGCAAATACAGACAATGAAGAAATCAAATACACAGGAGGTAAATATAGACATTGAAGAAATCAATTACACAGGAGGCAAATACAGACAATGAAGAAATCAATTACACAGGAGGCAAATACAGACACTGAAGAAATCAAATACCTTCTTTTTGCAGACTATCGGTGTCTAGCACCACTAAGGACAGAATTAAAAAAAAAAAAAATATATGACTGTTTACATACAAATTGTGCACGGTATGATATGAGAATAAACCCCACGAAACCTAAGGTCATGAAGATAGGCAAGAAACATAACATTATAAACTTGTGTGTTAACGGTACTACAATCAAGCAAGTTGGAGAATTCAGATATTTAGGAAGCATATTTACTGAGGATGACAGACTCGTGAGAGACAGAAAGAAGACAGAGTACAAAAGGCAAATGCTATAATTTATCATTTAGCCTCACTGCTTTGACAATAAAATATCTCCTTCCCAAAAAACCGACAAATAGGTAAAAGAATCGTTATCCCTAATTTATGTGATTTGTGCAAAGTGAACTGAAACAAAATACATGTGAAATGCGCAACCCTCGAAAGGTCACTAACAATACAAGAATAGACTGGGTTATGAATACCAACAATGGAGGAAAAGTTGGAAAAAGACCATGTCTGGATTATATTGACAGACACAGATTGATATGGTTCGGCTATCTAGTGAGATTGCAACCACACCAAACTGAATATGAGACTTTTTACCGAGGATGGCGAGAGGAAGACTGTAATGAATGTACTTGTGTCTCCTCCACACTTGATCTCTATAGTGCAGATTCAACACTGACTCTGTTGTCTAGGTGTTAGGTCACAGCTCATTCTAACCAGACGGCATTTCTCTCCACGGTCACACAACTTCAAATGACGGTCGACACCAGCTGACACATTTCACAGGTTTATTGTCACTGTAGCACAAGACACGAATTAACAGATGAACCAACTTACGCCATTCGGGCTATCTCGCCTTGCTCACGCATTAGGGCTCCAGACATGCTTCAGACGATGGACACTGGCATGTTCACGGCTGGCTCAACAATCAAACCGTGTAACACAACGGCTGGCCTTCACGATCATTCAATAGCGCTGCCTGTCTTGTCGTTCAACGCTAACATTCATTCGACTCTGATTCAGATCCACGTGCACTCTTCATTCTGGATTCACCTTCACAGATTCAGCTTCACATCCTTCCAGTCTGGGGCCCAGTCACCGAATGCCCACCTCATTCTCAATCCCCCAGATCTCGCATTCACACGTGACTCACTCTCCCTTGTCCTTTCACCATCTCTCCGTGAAACCCATGCTATCAGTGACTTGCCCAATTATGCCAGTTATGACGTTATCCCTATTTATAGCATCATTACAACGACCAAGAAAGAGGTGATTAAATGGTGAAGCTGGAACCTGCAAAAAGAGGAACAAATCCATCACCCAAGCCACACAAGAAGCTAAAGACAAATACATAAAACCCGACACTCGGGTACAAACTGGTATAGAAAACGGTATCTTATATACACTTATCAATGTACTATCTACCCACAGAGAAGAACACCACAGTATCATTGATTCTCAAACTATTTACGACCATCAGCACATGCGGGCTGCTGATTACGATCCTGTTGTACTACCACATCGGAGCTGAGATCAAGATGCTGGATGCTAAAGTTGATGATCCTCTTGGTGAGTCAGCAGACAGGCTAGGAATTTAGGTTTTGACTTTTTCTTCTTGTTCTTGTTCTTCTTCTTCCTCTTCTTCTTCTTCTTCTTCTTCTTCTTTTTTATCTTCTTCTTCTTCGTCTTCTTCTTCTTCTTCTTCTTCTTCTTCTTCTTCTTCTTCTTCTTCTGTTTCTTCTTCTTCTTCTTCTTCTTCTTCTTCTTCTTCTTCTTCTTCTTCTTCTTCTTCTTCTTCTTCTTCTTCTTCTTCTTCTTCTTCTTCTTCTTCTTCTTCTTCTTCTTCTTCTTCTTCTTCTTTTTCATCTTCTTCTTCTTCTTCTGTTTCTTCTTCTTGTTCTTGTTCTTGTTCTTGTTCTTGTTCTTGTTCTTGTTCTTGTTCTTCTTCTTGTTCTTCTTCTTCTTCTTCTTCTTCTTCTTCTTCTTCTTCTTCTTCTTCTTATTATTATTATTATTATTATTATTATTTTTCTTCTTCTTCTTTTTCTTCTTTTTCTTCTTCTTCTACTTCTTCTTTTTTCTTCTTCTTATTCTTCTTCTTCTTCTTCTTCTTCTTCTTCTTCTTCTTCTTCTTCTTCTTCTTCTTCTTCTTCTTCTTTTTCTTCTTCTTCTTCTTCTTCTTCTTCTTCTTCTTCTTCTTCTTCTTCTTCTTCTTCTTCTTCTTCTTCTTTTTCTTCTTCTTCTTCTTTGTTTTTACTGGTTGTAATCTCTAGAGAAAAGTTATGATTGTTCAACTGCCTCTAGAGTTTAGACTTGTTTCAGGACCTGAGAGTTGCGTGCACATCCGTTTTGAAGATCTGACTATCTGACTTAGTTGTATGCAGAGTTGTAGTTCCTTGCCTCTCAGGCAGATGCACTCTGACTTCGAACGTAATCCCTAATTAGTCGACTTTTACGACACGCTTGTTGGAAAGGCAGTGGGTCTATTCTTTTTTTTTCCATAACGAGGCCATAGAACCCACAACGGGAGGTCATAAAAAGATTCGAAGAAGAAGAAGAAGAAATAGACTACTGACGACATAGATTCCATAATTTATCATCATGATACCTTCGTTTTTGACGTAATTTAATCATCCTCACCAGTTGATCAATAATCATTTGCATATATATATATTGACCCATCTCCGATGGATGATGACATAGCTGATTACAATTTTGGTTTTAATGCAATACATGAACACTGATCAAGATAATAATTCTTTGGGCAAGGCAGCATCAGAGCAAGGGAAACAATCCAAACACCGCATATTAAGCAATCTCTTTATGCTGTAGACCCAGCAGTGAGTGGGAAATCATATGGCGTCAGAGGTTTTTTTTTTATTTAATGTTTAATTGTTTCCCTCTCTGTAAATTTATTCTGTGGATTAACACCTCAGAGATGAAAATCAAACAGTTGTATAAAATAGTTATACTTGGGGAGAACATTACACTTATGGAGTATTCTGTAGAAAAATATAGATTGGTTCATAAGATCGGCAAAGCCAGCATAAGACACACACTTGGCGTAAGAAAAAGTTTTTTTTAACAATCACATAATTTTCACAAGTAATCACAGGATGCTGATGTTGATATGTATGTTAAGGCTGGAATCTGAGCACATATGGATGTGCCCGGAGTGGCGGGAAGATGAGCCCATTCACAACAACTCTTGACAGTTTCAACAAGTGTAATTGTGAGATTAGGCATTCACACACGAATGTACACATTGCATGATTTTCCTCACAGCCGTTACCTCAATGACAACCTGGATGCTGCTGATTGTGGAGCTGCTCGTTTGTGCTGTCCACCCCTTCCCTGGGGATGTCCAGGTGTACATGACATCCATCTCTGGTGTAGAAGACAGATCCCACATTGACGGAATTCTCTCTGTGCTCATGATGTTCCGCCTCTACCTCGTCGGTAATAATATATATATATATATATTTGAAATGTGATAACCCAGTAGCCTCTGACTAAATATCATGTCTTAGTCAGTTGGTTTATTGAATATGTTTCAACGTGACTTCTTCTTGAGGTAGCCAACCCCAAAGCAGCGTCTGTGGCTTGGGCGTTGGAGTCCGACTAGTAATTCCACGCAGCCAGCAGTGGGTTTCGATCGTGGTATGGGTACCAGGAAGGCTATCTTGGGGAAGTAAAGACGGCAGGCGTAATGCTGACCACATTACCCAGTTAGGGCCGATGGTCTGATAAAAAAAAATATTGGCGCTCTTCCCATGTGTCCAATGAGCCTGAAGGCATGAAAAGGGATCTTTACTTTTTTACTTTACCAACCAACCCTAAGCCCAACCATACCCATAGTCGCCTCTTACGACATGCCTGATAAGATGTAGTGTTACAATTCTTTGCTTTCCGTGAGGGCCCCGGTACACACAGGCGTTATATCTTACTGGTTCCATATCAACAGATACATCACAAATTATAAACAGATTTCACACTTTCCTCTAGTTCTTCGCTTCCCCGTATACCGTTCGAGAGGTCTGTTCGACCATAGACTTGAAAAGTATCAGATGTTATTCTTCCATCTTCTTTTGGTCTTTCTATAGCTCCTCCCACCCCCGCCCCTTTTTTTTGTGTATGCCTTGCAAACTTTAGGTCGCAAGGCATTATTACAGGGCAAACTATTTTATTTGTGTATTATTAGTACTTGTATTGTTTTTCTGCCAGCGTTTTCTTTTTTTTTTTTTTAACTTTATTCCTAACTTTATCATTACTGGTCAGTCTTCTATCATTTCTCAAAAGTCTGATTTCTATGGTTACTCGTTTTCTTTTTCTTCTGGTTCGTTGTGGATGACTCAGTCTTGATTGGGAGCAGAGGTTGCAGATGTCTGTGCGCATGTGCACGTAAGTGTGAGTTTATTTTCTAAAATTACTGTTAGAGACCAAAAGAGAGTGTTGCTAATTTTTAGGTATGGCCCAGATTACTATCTGATATATGTATTTTGTATTTCACAGGACGTTTCCTGGTTGCCCATTCGCCTCTACTGACCGACCCAACCACACAAACCATCGCAGCAGTAAGCCACGTGAAGATCGACATGTTCTTTGTCTTTAAAGCCGCCATGACGGATCACCCAGGAAAGGTCATTGCCCTCACCATGCTCTCGATGTATTCAGTCAGCGTCTGGGCAATGAGAACCTGCGAGCTCTACTACACGAAAATCAGTGACGCTCAAAGTCTGACGCAGTCAATGTGGTTGGCTGCCATTACATTCCTAACAGTAGGCTACGGCGATTTAACGCCAATGACTCACTGTGGGAGGTTTATTGCAGTTGTTACTGGACTTATGGGTCTCGGATCCACAGCTCTTCTTGTCGCTGTTGTAGCTAAGAAAATGGAGCAGACACGGACTGACAAATACGTTTTTAACTATCTTTCAATGTTACACATAGAAAACAAAAGAAAACAAGCAGCTGCGGATGTAATTAAACTATCTATCAAAGTGTACATTTGGAAGAAGACTCACGAACGTGAGCCAAAAAAAGTTCATAAAATAAACTTGACCTATTATTCGTGGAGACTGAGCAACGCTATAAGGGCGATGAGGTCCACGCGAGCAAAGAGGCAACGATTTGAGGAAGCGTCTGTAGGTTTAGCAGAGTTGAGTCAACAGGTCAGTTATCTACAAGCCATTACCAGCGTTCTAGTCTCAGGCCAAAGTCAGGTAATGGACAAGTTATCAGACATTCAACAGCATGTTCGACAGAAAGAAAACGACGGTGGTGTTGTAAAGTAACATATCAGTTCTGAAGTTCTACTATGTGGCCATTGTGTGTGACAAGCTGATTAACTCATCGAGTTCCAAGCAGCTGACCATGATCTGTTTAATTTCAGGAAATACTGTATACTTTTCTTTGTAGTCTTCTTTTTCTTCTCTTGCTCATTATCTTTCCCTCCTCCCTCTCCTTTTCCACCTCCTTTTCATCCTCCTTCCTTTCCTCACCTCATTTTCCTCTTTCTTTTCTTAATTAGCTTAAAGGGTATAATGTCCCGATGTGTCGCAAAACGGTGCCCAGGAACACACTTGGAATATACTGTTCGGAGAAAATCGCAACAGGCAGCATCTGCTATGAAGTGCTAGACCACATTAACAGGTCAAATTTTACAGCTCTTCTCTGAATCTACACAAGAGGACACGCCGGACTAAAGGGCATTAAACGAGCGGATCTACTGTCACCTGGACAGGATTATAGAGATAGAAAGCATCACTGACGCTTTTTGGACTGCACCGTTGGTGCACAATATTATGGTTTAATCGAGTAACAGAAAGTGTATTGATCGGCACTCATAGAAAGAAGTAGAAAGATAGAAGAACACATTAGACAACATAAAAATCGAAAGCTATAGTTACCGTGCCGGGAATTGAACCTGTCACCTCCAGACGGCGTCTGCGCCCCGCCATGAATACAAGTGCACTAAGAACATGGTCAACCAGGCACCCCCCAAAAAAGGTGTCTTATTGGCCATGTCTATCGTACAGCTTGAAATCCACAACTATGGAATACGGACAGAATTCATTTCACCCCATTGAAAATCGCACCTTAGGTTACATAAATTTATATTAACGAAGCAAATGTCGAATAACAATCACAGCAATAACACGTTTCAGACATTAACCGAATTACGTGACATGGGATTAAAACCTTGCAAAGCTCGTCTATGCCGCCTACGAGTTAAGGAGACGTTACAGCCAATACTTATTGGAACAAAAAGCATTGGTTTTTTGGAGTGGCTGTTGCATCGGAGAATTGAGAAGGCATGGGAGAGACTAATGGTCAGTTAACTCGACTGTGACAACATACTATTCTGAACTACTTGCGATCGATCAAGCTGTGGTAATCATCCACTGGATATCATCTCAGGCCATGCTTTATTGTTTTTTGAATACCTTCTGTCTCCGCGGTGTTTAACTCATGTTGCCCGTGTATTTATCACTTTAAAGAAGAACTTCTCAGAAAGCAAGAAATTGTTCATCATGCGGGTTCCGCGGCTCGAGTTTGGAGAATAGAGAATAGAATCTCTGCCCTCCAAAAGGATGTCGTAGCAAGCGACTAATTAGAGGTGTTACCTTCAACGTCTGGCTCAACCTTCACGAGAGACAAGCAACCAATAGTCGGCATACAAATAAGCCAGATCTGTAAAACTGATTTGCTGGTTGAAAGTAGCAATTTTGTGTGTGTGTGTGTGGGAAAGCGAAGAACGAACGTTCAGAAGCAGAGCACAGAGATGCCCACCAAAACAATATTAGGAGTCCCAAACCCCGTTAAAAATGTACGAGTGGGTTAAATGGCCACTCCCCCCGTGTGATTTATTGGGGTTTTTTTTTGCCTAAAGAGAAAAGAGCCATCAACAGGTCTAAAATAACACCTAAAATACATCTAATTAGGATGTTTCCTCCCAAAAAGGAGTGTCCCTTTTTTAAAAAAATGCGGAACCAAGCGTCTACATACAAATAATTCTGTAAAATGACTGTGTAGGCAAATGTCAATTTCTATTTAAAAAAAATGTATAGAAGTGGACGAACAACCAAAACATTATAACGGAATTTACAGACAGTGAAAGTTAGGAAGTAAAGGAAGTGATCCTTCTAAGCATGTAGAAGTAACCTTTTTTTAAAGTGATGGCTGATATATTTTATATTATTTTGAAAAGCACATAATAATAATTAATATGTTTATTATTATTATTACTGTGCACAAACATAGGCACAGGCCCACTTGTACCCAACTTGCCCCATTGAAAATAATATATTAGCTGAGATCCACCCGTCCCCCCCCCCTCCTCAAATTTCTATCACCTTGGTTTCTTTGTGGAGGCCAACATAGGTTTGCAGAAACCGGGTGGAGAGAGGAGCCTGGGGAGGGGGGGGGGGCGTTGCTGAATGTGATTACTCACAACTACATAGCTAGTGCAGTTACGACGGAATGTGCATGCCGGGAAATTATTTTTTTGCTCCACAAGAAAAATTCCAACACTCTACCGAGGAGTTGAATCCAGCTCTCCAGATAGAGAGGCTAGAATTCCTAAACCTTTCCTAGTCTCTTTTGTCATCAAATTTGGTACTGGGAAATCTAAAAAGATAGCCTGGATTATATTGACAGACAAAGAATGAAATGGTGCGGCCATATAGTGAGGATGCAGCCATGCCAAACTGCATTTGAGATTATTTACAGCAGAACATCTGGGGGAGGGGAGGGTGGGGGAGGGGAGAGAGACAAGGCGACAGGAAGACCAATAAAGACACGGTTAAAGGGTGTGGTCGAAACCTGCAGCAAGCTGATGAAATCCATACCCCAAGCCAGCCGAAAAGCTCTAGATAAATTTAGAAAACCACGACACTGGGCTACAACCTGGTATCAGTGAGACGACATAAGAAGAAGAAGATTAGGTCTAACCAATCCAATGAAAGAGATCACCAATCTTAAGAAGCGTCCTTTCAGTTGGGTTCTCTCCCTCCTAAAAGCCTCAACGTTTAATACTGTTTCATCCACACACATACAAACATATACACACACATTCACACACACAAACTATTTCGAGTGACATCCTTTGCAGTAACCATAAAACCACCAACTGGTCCCACCTCCCTCAGTTACTTTCTGTCTATTACCTTTTCTCCTGCAACAACATGCATACGCGGTGTCCACTATCAAACACTGATATAAATCTGGTGACTAGGCTCATCTAAAAGCTAAGATGTGTATGCATTCATGTCTGTAATTGTTTCATTGTTTGTTTATGTCTGATGATGAAGACTTTCTAGGCGCAGCGTTCATTAAGTCGCTCGTGACTGTGATATTGTGGAGCCGACTCCTTCTTCTAGTCGTTGGCACTGTCTTCTTTTCATGCTTTCCTTAGAAACATTATCGTGCAGATCAAAGTGTCAACGAATTAACAGAAGAACGTCATTTGTTAATTCGAAAATAACAATTATCTAACTGCTTTTTTTTTTTTTATAAATAACCGCTCTAGTGACATCTTCATGTGGAACTTTAATGATGTCAAAAATATCGCTGTCAACTGGTAAACTTCTCGATGTTTGCAACTAGCCTACATGTCTAACTTGATTGAAAACCTTTATTAAATTGATGAAATGTTGATTAGGCTTGTTTTCGCGTTGATGTTTGAGATTGAATATTGAGTTGATGCGATCGTTTCCGAGCAGCTTTGTTATGCAGACATCGCATTGTTTTAATAGGTACAGGAAAAGCAATGCACCGGGCCGATATTCTCAATGCTCTCAGGCAGGCAGGATGAGCAGATGATTCTGGAAACGACGTTCAATCGGCAACATTCAAAACACTATAAGAACTTCGTTTCAAAAATAGAGTTGCCAAATATGAACACTATGCAGGTAGCCAAAGAAGAATAGTAAACCAACACAGAACTGGTGTTGTCTGTCGCCACGCGCTGAAGAATATACTGAAGATGGGATCCGAATGCTTATGGACTTGTCCGATGTGCAATGAGTATAATCTTTCAATTAATCAACTAACTAGCTACCTAACTTTTTCTTCTTCACTTCCTCTTTTACCGCTGTGGGTGTCGAGGGAGATATAAGGTTCTGTTTCTAGCTCTTCTGGCTGCCTCGACCATAGGCACATCGTGCTGTTGTAGAGTTTCTCTGATGTTATCCTTCCATCTTGTTCTTGGTCTACCCCGTGCTCTACGTCCTTCTTCTCTTTCCATGTATGCTTTGTATGGTATGGTGTCACAAGGCATTCTCTCTAAGTGGGCAAACCATTTGACTTGCTGTCTTTGTATGTAATCCAGAATTGGTTCTGTGCCGACTTGTTCTCTTATGATCTCATTCCTGATCTTATCTCTTATGGTCACTCCTACAGCCATTCTCAGACATCTCATTTCCGTGGTTACTAATTTTCTTTTATAGTTTGTTGTGAGTGACCATGTCTGGCACTGGTAGCACAGAGTTGGAATAAATATGCTTTGAATAAGATGTCTCTTTGTGCTGATTGGGATTGTCTTATGCTGTAAGAGGGTGGCTAGCTGTCCCAATACTTGGTTTGCATTACTGCATCTAATGTTAATTTTTTTATCTAATTTCCCATCTTCGGTAAATGTAGTTCCCAGATATTTAAACTCAGATGCCTGTTTAATGCCTTCGTATTCTATTGCTATGTTTAGATCTGTCTTCTTTTTTCCTATTGACATTACTTCTGTCTTTTCAGTGTTGATAGTACTGATAGTACCAATTACAACTATATATGTCCTCCTTGCCTTTTCTCGGCATGTTTGTTGTGTGCTATATATGAGTAAATGAAAGGGAAGTGCATTAATGAACATCACGCTTGGTGCGGTGCAGTGCAGGATATTAAAAGAGAAAGAGAGACTGTTGACTCTACGACGCTGAGGTGGACGGTACGTTCTAACCTGGAAGTTGCCAGACTAGTCCTGCATACCTGTGTGTTACGCCGGGGTTAAGTGTCCAAGCTATCTGTCAGAGTTGCCGCAGTGGCCGAGGCACGTGACGGAGGCTCGTGAGGTGAGATCAGGAAATCTCAAGGTACGTGTCAGGCCACAGACGGAAGGTCTGGATAATCTCCACAAAGCATTGTGCATCGGCTTGCATGACCTCTCTAGTGACAGTATATCGAAGTGATAGGTGACATAGAGACAGTCACGTAATCACAAGCAGTGGATTTGCGCGAGCGAGTAATGTTTGCCCGTAGCAACCAGGGAACATAGGGTGGCAGTCCAGAGCGTCCTGAATGAATGTTGCCTTGGTAGTGAGAATGACTGTTGCAGTATAGACATCCATGTCTTATGATGCCTTTCATTATCCTGGTGTTGACATATTTGAATCTACTTTGACGGTTAAAATGTTTCCGGTGTCCTCTATTGCTGTAGGGCGGGAGTGGTGACTTGTAAATGTGACACTACTGAGTATGCCCAGATACCTGGCAAGTGTGCGGAGCATCAACGAACTTTCGCACCCGACAATGTTGAGGGTCTCGACACTACATAATTCTTTTTGCACTGCCAATATATATCCTTTCTGATAACATAATTTTGAACACAAAGGCTTAAAACATAGGTTTCATAGAAATCATTCCTTCTGCGCATGTAAGTGGCAGCTGAACAACCTTGAGGATGAATTCACAAACACTTTTGAGGACATCAACACAGGCGCTGAATGGCAAAAGTAGGACATAGATCCAGGCGACAAAAAAGGCAACAGGCCAACCCATGAAGACTAGCTGTAGGAACCACAGGGAGGACCACAATAGTCCTGGACATACACCGCCATTTCCTGTACCGCTTCCAAAGTCAACGTCGTGTCTCATTCTTTTATCGTTATAAGTTAATTCAGCTGGTAATGCTGTGCCATGTATGAAAACAGCTTTTCGTCGATGCTGAAATCAGCCAGCTCGTGGAAAAGAAAAATAATTATACTGGATTATTGTTTGCAGTCTTTAAATGACAATAATATAATTTATATAAGTAAACATTTCTAATTATTTTGTTTCCATATTGGAAATAATAGTTTAAAAAAATAGTAAAGGAGGTTTCTCTTTTCATACTATTGGTCTGTCAGGCGTTCAGTGTCCTATTCCTATATACAAATCCTTTCTCGATGGTTGATGCAGTCGTCATCACTTCCCTCGACATATCAACCTAGGAGCCCACAATCTTCTTCTTCTGCTTTCGAATTTAAAAAGTCGTTTCGCTTATTGCGTTGTGGTTTTCAGATAGGCAGCAATATCTGCACATGTCGACAAAACTTACTGTCCTTGTCCCCGAAAATGGGACCTTGAAACTCACACAAGGAGCAGCCCAAGAAACACAATGCTAATCTGAGTCGCTGTGGAATCGAACCTTGACACCGTAAATACAAGTAATGAAGAAAGGTTCCAACTTGTGTCTCAAAGTCATCCGTGATAGGCTTTGTTTGAAGTCGTCTAGTGTTAATGAAACACCAAATGCCCCTGGGTTGCAGGGCCCCATTGTGGGGAAAAGAAAAATAGACCCACTACCTCACCAACAAGCATGTCGTAACAGTTGACTACCTAGGGACTTCCCTAAAGTCGGATTTCATTTGCCTGAGAAGCAAGGAACCAATAAACTGCATATAAATATGTCAGCTCTGTAAAACTGATGTACACGAAACAGTCAGGTTCTGGGATAAGACTAAAGTCAAAAGGTAAACGAACAACCAGAACGTTACGCTGGAGTTCAATGCCGGTTAACGTGCACAAGAAGAATTCAATTCCGATTCCTTTTAAGAACAAAATTAAAAGGTTGACCACTTTCAGACTGCTGCTAGCTAGCAGAGGCTGCTACAGTCTCCGTCCACAGATAAAACTGGCTGTCAGCCAAAAATAACAATAAATGATGTCATAAATTGAAAATGTCACAGACTTTGAATATCTAGCCTTTATATGGCAAGGGAGACTGTTTGACAGAAATTAAAAGGAGGATGGCCATCGCAATGCAAAGATCAAAAAGTCTAAAAAATCTATGGTTAATTTTGAGAGCATGCATCTTCCCAGTAGCAACATATGGATGTGAGTCGGGGACTATCTCTCAGTCCATAAGAAAGAGAATAAGGGCTTGTGAGCTGAAATGAAATAGAAAGATTCTCAGAATATCTTGGACGAAAAAGAGGAGAAATACTGACATCTTGAAAGATCTGAACATCAAGGCAGATAGGCTAATAAACAGCTTCCTGTCTCGAAGCTGAAATATTTTGGTCATATCAAGCGCCACAACGGGTTGGACAAAATTATAGCAGAGGGCGTGGTACCAGGAAGCAGGAGCAGGGGCCGACCAACACTAAGATAGGCACAGGATATAAGTGACTTTTTGAGTATGAAAGTTGAAGAGGCGGGAGAGCTGGCGAGAGACCATGTTTCTTTCAGGCAGACCGTGATGAAAGCGACGTTCTCCAAATGACTTGCTACATGATGATGATACCGAAAAAACGCGACAATACCTAGCTAATCAGAGCCGTTGCATCCGAGTTGCCGAACCAATCGTGTTTTCTTCCAATCCGCACTGAGTGGGATTTTTTCTTTCTTTAAATTTGACGAGGCTGTCATTCTAAAATATATATAGCCCCAGTCAATGTTTCGTTATTTTAAAGCCACACCCTGGCTCTTGCCAGGGACCGCAATATAGCCCTGCCATAAATATGGTCTAATGGTTGAACGCGGTTTCTGGGACCTCTTGACGGTTGATCCTCGTCCACATGGTGGAACTTTATGTCATCGGGTGTTCATCGCTTGTGTGATGTCATGGTGAGGTAAAAGTACTGCTACTACTAAGTAAAAAAAAAAAAAACTAAAGATCCCTTTACACGCCCTTAGGCGCATCGGGCATATGGGAAGAGCACCCATATTTTTACAGACCAATCGGCACTCAGTGGGTAATGTGGTCGGCATTACGCCGGCCGTCTTTACTTTCCCAGGACAGCCCATCCTGGTACCCATTTGAGGCTGGGTCGACCTGCGACGTCCCATACCACGATAAAAATCCACGCAGCCTGCTACTACTACTCATTCTTAAATGAGGGCTCATATAATTTTCAGACCAGGAGGGAGCGCCAGTGTGACATTGTCATCACCCAACAAGTTCCAACTTCTTCTTCTTTTCTCTACTCCTGGAATGCCTGGCGACATTACGACAGAAAGAAATCGCTGGAACAAGCCCTTTTGTTGGCTTCGTAAAAAAATACTTTTTTAGGGGTTTCTGATATATTTCTGCGGTCCATCTTCTGCACGGTCAACCTCTGTAAATGTTACCGCTGTATTTGTGTAACATTGCCTCTCTGTGGTGCCCAGTCTGATGCCAACCTTGTTACATGGCCGAATCATTTGATTTTTTTTTTTGCAACTGATCTATACAAATGTGAATCTAGCATAGTGTGTCCCACGAGCAAAATACAACGAAAAGTAAAGAACCAATTTCCAAACCTTCTGACGTATTAGGTATATAGGACTAGACCTTTAATTTATTTACCAATCGGCACACAGTGGGTGATGTGGTCAGCACAAAACAGGTTGCCTATACTTTCCAGAATTTAACCTAATACTTATTGAAGACTGGGTCGACCTGGCAACCTAGATCATTGTTTGAAAAAAAAAAAGCCTGGCTCCCTCAGGACCTGAACACATGACCTTTGCATTCGCAGGTAAACGTCTAGCCACTGCACCACGTTAGCTCCCCTATTGTGTAAATGAGTCCTTTAATTAATTTTACATTTGTCAAGCGAGCTGCGAAACACAGTAAGGTGGGCAAAACAATGCGTGACTAGTCTTTCTGATTTATTTATTTTCTTTATCTTTGCTATTTCATCTCATCATACTATTCTCATCTTTCTATTTGTATGTATTTTCTTATTCTCTTACTTCTTTTTATCACCCCTCCATGCGCCATGCCTCTTTTTATCCCTTTCTTTTGTTTATACTACTTAGTACTCTAAAGTTGATATGTCTTTCATTATCTTCTTCTGCCTTTCTATTCCCCAATGGAGCATAGGCCCTCAACCAACTCACGCCAAGTCGTTCTATCCTTCGCCATTGCATGGAGCTCTCCCCATGTCCTCACCATCTTTCTAACTTCATTTTTCAGCTCTCTTCTCTGTGTGTTTATTGGCCTTCCTTTATTTCTATGACCCTGTGGGTTCCAATGCAAACGACATTCTAGTTATGCTGTTATTGCCATATTAGCATTTTATCCTGTTTTTTTCACTGTGTCCTATTGAACGCCAGCGTCTTTTCCTCACCTCTTGGTCCACTGGAGCCTGTTTAGTTCTCTCCCAAAGCTCTATATTAGTTATTCTATCATACCATTTAATTCCCTCTATTCTGCGCAGACCCCAGTTAATGAATGTCTGTAATTTATTAGTATATTTCTCTTTAATCTGTACAAAAATGAGTGTTTAAACTATCCCTTCCTTAAAATTGCTCATTTTCTTACAGGGATCTCCATGATGAAGTGATCAAGCCGTTTGCCTTGCGCTCTGAAGTTCATGGGTTCGCTTCGCAGCTGCGCGTTAAGCTCACGAGTGCAATTTTTACAGATGTACCTGGGGATCGTCGCGGGAGCTACAGAGTTGGTGCGTAGCGCAGCGCTCTCGGCAGGCGGCTAGCTATTTTGCAGAAAGTGCCTGAGACATATGGGTTAAACTCGGTGCAATGAAGTCGATCCTTTCGACTTTAACCTCATTCTAACTTTTTTCATTTCTTTAAGAAAACATTCCTTTGCAATAAAATTCAACCCATATTCTAACAAAAATGCAAACAATCTTGAAAAATCCCTAATAAGTGTCTCCAAATTTTTCAGTGTAATTCAAAAGGAAGCGATTAAAGAAATAAAACCTTTTCGGCACAATTTGCGAGCTGTGGAAGAAAACCACCTGGTAAATTAACTTCTATGATTTAAGCACTAAGAACATGCCACAGTCATTGTTCTGACTATGGTTAGACTGTAAAGTTAGGCTCAATGACTAACAGTACAGAGAGCCCGGGATACATGCAGAGAAATGCCCTAAGGGTTAGAAATGTTTAGCCGAAAAGTATAGAATAAGAACGGTAGTTTGGTAAATGTAGTCGGTCTACTGATGAACAAAGAGTTAAAGAAAAAGGAAGTTAATAAAAACACTTTGACGAGTAACTCAGAAATACAAAGATAAGAGAACTTTGTAACAAGAAAGATATTTTCGGTGTTTTAAAACAGATTTTTGAACGTTTTCTTCCAACCAAAAGCCAGATAGAGGAATATGTGTAAAGTATATGTAAACAACGACTTATGTTAAAGTTTCTTGTCGTCTTTTTCATGGAATGAAATCATCATTGTTCTTGAATTTACATAGTGCTTTTTTGTAATAAACGATTTCAAAGATTGCATCACTTATAGACCACTGCTTGATGCCAGATACAAAAGACAATGTCTATCTTGTCACGCATGTTCCTTGAGGAAGAGTTTTAGGGAAATTGGAAAGCATGAAAGGATGATTAAGCAACAGACAGACAGACAGACAGACAGACAGACAGACAGACAGACAGACAGACAGACAGACAGACAGACAGACAGACAGACAGGACAGACAGACAGACAGACAACACAGACAGACAGACAGACAGACAGACAGACAGACAGACAGACAGACAGACAGACAGACAGACAGACAGACAGACAGACAGACAGACAGACAGACAGACAGACAGACAGACAGACAGACAGACAGACAGACAGACAGACAGACAGACAGACAGGACAGACAGACAGACAGATAGATAGATAGATAGATAGATAGATAGATTAGATAGATAGATAGATAGATAGATAGATAGATAGATAGATAGATAGATAGATAGATAGATAGATAGATAGATAGATAGATAGAATAGAT